CACACACACACACACACACTCCAGGATGAATGTTGTTTTATGTAGACGAGGGACCTTCTCGGCCGTCTTTCTCCTCCTAATAAAGGCTGCGCTGCGGGTCACCATAGCGACGACCCCTTCCTGTATTCTCCAACGACTTCCAGGTCACACCTAGGAGAACTGATTAGCCAACAGAAAGCCTTATTTCTCTCCGCATCCTTCTGGTTTCGTGACCAATCAGGGAAAGACCAGCTGTCGGATTGCACTCGGGTCCAGGAACCATTTTATTTTGTTTTATTTTTCAGAAGCACAAATGACCTTCTCCTCTTTTTTTTTTTTTTTTTAAAGAAGAGCCTGAGAGATTGCTGGGTTCCACCGAATTAAGTGTGAAACAAATTGAACGTAACGGCTTTTAATTTACTGCTACACACACACACACACACACACACACACACACACACACACACACAGGTCTGGCTTTAGCAGCTAGACCAAAGTACCAAGTACTTGATTTCTGCTAAACCAGAATGTATGTAATTAGCATTAAAATCTATTAATGCAGATTTTTTTCAGCACATATATTATCAATATTGTCTTACATAAGCTCCTATACAATACTTTGCCCCCAGAATGCTAACTCTGTAGCTTGTATTAGCGAACGCGCCATGCTAACTGATCCATACTAATGTTTATTCACGATTAGCCGCCTTGTTAGCTCAGGCCTTCCCGTTCCATAGCAATAATCTGGGCTAAATAAATAAATAAACCAACAAATAAATAAAAAAAATAAACCAGATTCCCCTCCTCCATTTCCAAAATCATGTAAGAAACCCCTCACAATGCTAACGACGCTAATAGTTAAAGACCCTTAGCGCATTACATGTCTGTTTATCACAATCTCTCATGCTAAACTTTAGCCACATTAGCAGAGATTTTTGTTTGTTTGTTTGTTTTTTAGGTACAAGTTCTCTAAACAGCTCTCTTCTTACCTCATTTTAGTTTTATTTTCTTTATAAGTTAATCAAAACGAAGTCTGAAAACAGCTATAGTGCTAATGTTATGCTATACAGGTGCACAGGATGCCACAAAAAAGAACCTAAAATGGTTTTTAAACCCTTTTTAAGGAGAAAAATCAGAGAAAAAAACGCATTTGTGAGGTTATTAGCTAAATCTAAAACTTTGAAAACCTCGTCAGCTAGCTAGCGGATTGTCCTAGCTTAACTTGCAGTGTCGCTTGCTAGCTAGCGTTACAGCAAATGAGTAGCTAAACATAGCAGCTAACTAGCAAGATAGATAAATGTTTATCACTCTATAAAATGAAAAAAAAAAAAGTATTGAGGTATTCAATAAGGCAGGATTAGGATTAAAAATGTGGAGAATGTTGGAAATATTCCCTCGGCAAAACACCCTAATGTTGCTAATGATGGCTAAAGCTTAGCTTGTATTAGCAAAAGAATTAGCCCTTCTCCGTTAACGTTTCACTCATCGTTAGCCACGTTAGCGACTTTTACAGAGATCTTTTCAGTTCCATGGCTGTTTTTTTAAATGGATGTTTGGGCTTTTTTTTTTTTTCCGTCGCTAATCCAGCTAATAACGAATGCTAGGACCCCGATCCTTACGAGTTTATTTATTTCTAAGCGAGTTTTTCTCAGCGAAGCCTGAAAATCTTCTCCACAGGCGTCTGATGACCTCCAGTATTTTAACTCTCTGTTTTTTTAGACCAAGTTTTAAGCACAGATCCATTCTATATACAAACGTACTTATGAATATTTGCTTTACTAGTCGCGTCGTAAGAGTTTCTATTTAATTTGAGGTGTAAAGACGTGCGGTGATGAAGCTGTTAAACTTTCTCCAACACTAAACTTCGATTAAAACGTCAGAGCCGAGGGTTTACACACGACTGCTGTTCATACACCACTTTTCTATTCCTGTCCTTTTGTATAATAATGTATTGAATCTATTAAACGATTCATTTCAGTGAAGACGCCCTTGTGGTCATTTTATCACTTTATTACGTTAAAACCAGTTTAATGGTTTAGAGCGTCTCCATAACTATTGGCACCCTCCAAAACAATGGGCAGAACTTTTTTTTTTTTTTTTTTTTTTTTTTTTTTTTTTTTTTTTTTTTTTTTTTTTTTTTTTTTTTTTTTTTTTTTTTTTTTTTTTTTTTTTTTTTTTTTTTTTTTTTTTTTGAAATGAAATAAACATGATAAAATGATTCAAATTTAACATTTACAGGAGTAATATTATTGCTACTATTAATAATAATAATAATAATAATAAATAATTTATTAAATATGTATTATATGTATAATTTAAAATTATATATCATTTAAATTATTATAGTTCTTAAAACAAAATCCTCTTTTCTATTTCTATCAGTTTTAAGATGGAATTATTATTATTATTATTATTATTATTATTATTATTATTATTATTATTATTATTCCTTAAACAAAAAAAATTGTCCAGAACAAAATTTAATAAATTTCTAAAATCAAACTTTTTTTTTTTAATTTTTAAAAATGTAGAAATTTATTAATTTATTTTTAAAGTTATATATATATATATAAAACTTTAAAAATAAATTAATACATTTCTAAATTTTAAATAAATATTTTTTTTATAAATTTAAAAAAAATATCTTTTTTAAGATTAATATCTTTTTTTTTTTGCTTAAATGTAATAATTAATACGTTTATTTAACATGTTAATGTTTGAAAAAGAAAACTAGGTAATTTTTGATATGGTGAAGTTTTCTGTGAGGACGCATTTATGGAAAGCTTACGGAAGGAGTCTCCAGTGTCGGCGGACGTTTTTTAAGAGCAGGTGAGAGAACGCGTGTTTACAGCTGCTTTAACGTAAGCGAGAACAGGAAGTAACTTGTTTAACATCGACCACGGCGTCAAATCGCTGTGTTATAAGAGGAATAAAACACTTGTGAACGTGCTGTTATAGAAAAACCATCAGCTTCGAGGCAGTAACGGTAACGCCGCTCCATCACACCACCCCGTCACTGATTAGTTTCCAGTCACAGCACAACACACACAGAACCTTCTCATACTTCACGTAGCTACATTTTAACTACGCAGTGATTTACGCAAATAAACAGCTGAGATGTTATACGGAAATTCTGACTCATAACCCAGATGAAAAGTCCGATTTTCACGTCAGAAGGTTTCAGTAAAGCTGAAGGACGGCGTAATTTTTGCGCTCGCGTTGCTGTTACAGAACATCGTACAGGAAACTCCGAGCGAATTAACGCAACACTGTGGCTCTAATTTATTTATATACAAACTTTAATTACAAATAAAGTCATTCAGATACTTGATGAACTTCATACATATTGCTAAGTCATAAAAGATTTAAATGCGGTATTATTAGCATTGTGACCAAATATCAGAGCATCATAATTAATGCTGTCAGGGTGTAAGCCGTTAGCGTTAATATGGCTATCTCCTGCTTTTCTACAGAGAGGCTGTGTGTGTGTGTGTGTGTGTGTGGTTCAGTGATTATCAATGCACGATGTTAGCTAGCTGTTGATTTTGTGACTAGCTGTAGGCTACAGCGCTATCTTGCTCTTCTTTGCCCTTCATAGTTTTACATCCTGAACATTCAGAAGAGGAATAAAATAACAGAAATTAGATTTCAAGATTCAAGATTCAAAGAACTTTATTAATCCCAGGGGGAAATTGCTTTGCCATGTTACAATTGCTCTCAAGAAAGAAGAAAATAAAATAAAATAAATATATACCTATACAAAAAAATGAATAAGGAAACATACCAGTCATGATGTAGAACTGTACCAGTGAAGAGGATAGTTTAGATCAGGTGTGAAGTTAACTGAAGTGCAATGGAATGACAAATGTTGAGTATCTGGTTTATTCAGTATTCATCAGTACTGAATTCTTTTGCAACATTTCCATATCTTGTTTTTTTGGGAAAAGCTGGCAGGCTGCTCACGATGACCTCGCACATCAGAGACCTGGCTCGCAGCAGTCTGGCCCGCTGACAGCTGACACCAAGATCAACACCGGAGCCAGATAAGGATTTCTTTTTCTGTACAGATAGTTCTGATCTGTTCTCTTTTAAACTCACAGAGATCTCTCGGCTGTTACTTTGAAATTGAAAATAAAATAAAAAAAAGCACAATTATTTACTAGTCTGGAGTATAAGCAAAGAAAAAGTGGAACGTTTCATCTTCCATTCAATGAAGACAATTCATTTATTTATATTTTCGTTGCGAAAGCTGGGATTGAATATAACGAGGCTCGAGGAGAAAATAAAATGAAGGATGTTAATGAAGCAAGAGACAAAAATGTTGTGGGTTTTTTTTTGAAGGTGTTATTTTAAAACACAAAGGCGCTACGACAGCAGGGGTTTGGTTTGGTGGCTTGGTGGTAGAAGCCTTGCCTCTCCTTACAGAGGTTGCTGGTTTGAGTCTGCCTTGTACTTATACTTGCTATGGTGGGTGGAGAAACGTAGAAGGTGCTGTTCCTGGCTCACGTCTGTGCTGTTTAGTTTAGCTTTAACGCAGGGTTACGTATATGAAGGTGAAAAGGTCTATAAAACAGTTTGCTTGTATGAGTTCCTGTGGCTCATGTGGATGAGTGTTACCTCTGGTTTGAGAGGTTGCTGGTTCAAACCCCGGCTGGGACTCCAGGATATGAGCGTAGATGGTTCAGGACTTCGTGGAAGGTGCTGGAGGGTGTGACCTGAGGGGGGGTAATATCCGGGCAGCTGCCCCCCCAGGATCAGCCCTGAAGCGGAAGGGGGTTATAGAGCTTGAAAAGAGAGTGTCGACTTAGTTTTTACAGCATTGCCTACATTATGCAAAACTATCACCTTCAATTTTCCTGGGATTCTGCAGCACCATTTACTCCAGCCACCTGTTCCCCAGGGCATCTTCTACATTTCTCCACCCAACACACTGAGCACAGGGACAAGCCGGATTCGAACCAGCAACCTCCAACTCCAGAGACAAGGCTTTTACCACAAAGCCACCAAATCCCACACAGACACACTGCTGTTATAGCGCATTTGTGTTTTAAAATGACACCCACACATAAGAAAAAAAAATTTGCCTCTTGCTTCATCCATATAGCCATTGCATATACAGTATCTATCTATCTATCTATCTATCATCTATCTATCTATCGAGCTACACATGCTATTCCTGAGATATCCACGTGATCTCCTCCTGAGTGATCCTGACCCCTTCTGCTCTCCGGACCTGCCTGATCCATCCTGATGCCCTGCTTCTGCTTGGAGTTCTCTTCACTTGGAAACCACTCGCTGCTGCTGAGGCTGACCTCCTACACGCACGGCCTGAAGATACATGAGATTACTGAGGATGGTTCCACTTAGAAACCATGAAGACGGCTTTGAACTTCAGTTGCTATGAACAGTTTTGCGCTCAAGTCTCCATCAGTGAGCAGCTGATAACGTCAACCAAACCGACTTCATGTGAAAACTGTGATGAATTTCCTGGTTACACGACTGCACTATTTGTCCGTGTAGCACACAGTTATAGAGGGAATGATTTATAATCGCACTCTCCGTGTCACCCAGATGAGGACGGGTTCCTTCTGAGTCTGGTTCCTCTCAAGGTTTCTTCCTCATATCGTCTCAGAGTTTTTCCTCACCACTGTCACCTCTGACTCGCTCATTAGGGACAAATTTTAGGGAAATGTTTTTTCTATATTTTCTATAAAAGTCTTATGTGTGTATTATGTGTATTATTTAAATAAGGCCTAGAAACAAAGAAAGATGCTAAAAAAAAAAAAAAAACAACTAAAAATAATATTGAAAATCTTTGAGTTTTGTTTAATATTTATTTTCTTAATTACTTGTAAGTTGGTAGCTATCGTCTTATAAACTTTCCATTTTGATTGGAGCAAAGAGAAGCATATTATATTTTATTTTTTTAAATATTACTACTTTATGTTATTATCAGATATCAAACAACTTCTGTATCATTTTCAACAGAAACAGGGACTTAGTTTACTTATAAATGTTAAATGTCGAAACCGTTTATAATTACACCAAGTTACTAAACTTTATCAGATTAGAAATGTAGTGACACCATCACCATTCACCTGTAACATTTTCTCCTTCTTTTTTTTTAAATTCCTGCTCTGGAAGATTACATTCCCGTATTTCACAAGCCTGAGATTAATAATTGACCTGCGTGTAGGTTGTGTTTAATAAGCAGAGACATGTCCAGGTAAAGCTGGGGTTATAAAAGGACATCAGTTTATAAGAGAGTCGTGTAGAACGTCCGAGATCTCAGCAGTGAAGATGGAGAGAACAGTGTTCTACCTGCTTGTCGTGTTTCTGCTGATGCCGGAGCGGAGCGTTCTACAGGAAACGGAACCTCAAGGAACATCTCAGGATCCGTGGCGTGAGCTGAAGCAGCTCCGGGAGCTCGTGCATCAGCAGGCAACTGCTTTATCCGAGATCAAGGAGAAGTTGGTGAACCTGGAGAACAAGAACACAGGTGAGATGAAGAACATCACGCTTCCTTCCATCAACGTTATAAAAAAACAAAAAAACAACCACTATTGAAAAACGAGTATAAAACGAGATCCAGAAATAAACAAAAAATGATCCGCAAATAAACAGAAAGAGATCCACAAACATAAAACAATATCTACAAATAAACAGAAAGTGATCCACAAACATAAAACAATATCTACAAATAAACAGAAAGTGATCCACAAATATAAAACAATATCTACAAATAAACAGAAAGTGATCCACAAACATAAAACAATATCTACAAATAAACAGAAAGTGATCCACAAACATAAGACAATATCTACAAATAAACAGAAAGTGATCCACAAACATAAGACAATATCTACAAATAAACAGAAAGTGAGGCACAAATATAAAATGAGATCAAATATAAAACGAGATCCAGAAATAAATAAAAAATGATCCACAAATAAACAGAAAGAGATCCACAAGCATAAAACGAGATCCACAAATAAACAGAAAGTCAAATTCAATTAAATTTGACTTTATTTGTATAGCACTTCTAGCAATGGACATTGTCACAAAGCAGCTTTACAGAAATATATAAATTCAGGATATAAATTTTAATTGATAAATTTATCCCTTATTGAGCGAGCCAGAGGCAAGAGTGGTAAGGAAAAACTCCCTGAGACGATACGAGGAAGAAACCTTGAAAGGAAGCAGACGCTGGAAGGCTGTTCCATAACTGTGGGGATTTGTAAGAGAAAGCTCTAAGCCCTGCTATAGCCTTCACTATTTGAGGTACCAATAAATAGCCTGCACCTTCTGATTGGCGTGGCGGATCATAAAACACCAAAACTTAGCTCGGGTACTGCGGCACGAGACCATTCAGTGCTTTATAGGTCAATGGTGATATTGAAAGTGATCCACAAATATAAAATAAGATACACAAATAAACAGAAACCGATCCCCAAATATGTGTGTGTCATTCAGGGTGTGTTATTTAATGTTTTAATGTGTCACAGTGTTTACCAGTGTTTTAGTATATCCAAAATGGACATACTATATGGACAAAAGTATTGGGACACACCTCTGAATTATTGAATTCAGGTGTTTCAATCAGACCCATTGCACCGGTGTATAAAAATCACGCACCTAGCTATGCAGTCTGCATTCACGAAGATTTGTGAAAAAACGGGTCATTCTGAAGAGCTCAGTGAATTCAAGCATGGTACTGTGATAGGATGCCACCTGTGCAATAAGTCAGTTCATGAACTTTCATCCCTGCTAGATATTCGGAAATGTGTAGGAACAACAGCACCTCAGCCACGACGCGGAAGACCATGTAAAGTCACAGAGCGGGATCACCGAGCGCTGAGGCTCTTGGTGCGTAAAAGTCACCAACGCTCTCCTGATTCCACAGCTGAAGAGTTCTAAACTTCCACTGGCACTTCCATATCAGCACAAAAACCTTGCAGTGGGAGCTTCATGGAATGGGTTTCCAAGGACGAGCAGCTGCATGCAAACCTCACATCAACAAGTACAATGCCAAGTGCTGGAAGGAGTGGTGTAAAGCGTGCCTCCACTGGACTCTGGAGCAGTGGAAATGTGTTCTGTGGAGTGATGAATCAGGCCTCTCTGTTTGGCAATCTGATGGGTGCGTCTGGGTTTGGCAGATACCAGGAGACCGTTACCTGCCTGACTTCTCTCCTTTTTGTTGGAAATTCCTGCTCTAACAGGTTAAATTCCCGCCCAGGTAAAGGTCTGGCGGCATAAGGAAGTTCTATATAAAGAAGTCGTGTAGAGAGTTCTCAGCAGTACAGATGGAGAGACCCGGGTTCATGCCAGAGCCGAGCAGTGTGCAGGAAATGGAACCTGACCGAACTTCTCAGAGTGCGTGTGGCGAGCTGCAGCAGCTCCGAGAGCTCGTGTATCAGCAGGCAAACGCTTTATCCGAGATCAAGGTGAAGATGGTTTACATGGAGAAAGAGAACACAGGTGAGACAAACATCAAGCTTCGCTCCATCCCACTCACTGTCGATGTAGCTGCTCTTTCTTTCTTTCTGCTTTTTAAGATATGTCCAAGCGCCGTTTCTCCCAAACACATCCTGGTTTGTGTGATCTGGACTCTATCTGTGGAGCTTTTATATTTTATATTTTATATTTTATATTTGTGGAACTCATATAAGTTATGCAACAAAAACAAGTAAACTGTGATTCGGCTTTGCTGCCAAGAGGTCACACAGTGGATCTGAAACTTTAAAATACATAAGAATATATTTTTTCATGGGACTTCCCTGAACGCTTGTAAATGACTGATTTGTTTATTTTGTAGTGATTGTTTTTGACAGGAGTGCTTTTAAATGCAGTGCCGTGGACTTTGACTGCCATCTAGCAGGCAAATAATGTAACATCATCATAAAACTTAAAAATGAAAATACAGATAATATCCCTTAAAACATCCAGAGGAACAAACAAACAAACAAACAAACAATGTGAATATTTTGTCTCAGTCGGAAAGTGCGGTTACTGTGTGTCACAATGTGAAGTATATAATAATGGGCGTGGTCAAATATTTTAATGAGCATGCTTGACTGACAACCCTGTTAATCGATTAAGCACAATGGTACAGATCAGGATTGCTCAATGTGTGCTAGGTAGCATTCGCACAGTAGGGCTGCCTTCATTCGCTAGTTAACTTTCATCTGCTAGGTTAGCATTCACTCTGAACGCTAGGTGAATGATACACTTTCAATCTAGTTTGCTTGGGATCAAACGGAATACGTTCTCTTCAAACATGTCCAATAACTTTCTAGAACATCTGAACATTTTGTGCTCTTTTTTATTTCCAAGCTCAGGCAGGCGAGCTGGTGGCCGTGAAGAGCGAACTGGAGAGGATGAAGAAACAAAACGCCGGTAAACACACTCAACACCTAACACAGCAAACCCTGATGCTAATCACTCGCACTTACAGAACAGCATTTATGTAAGAAATAAGAGCAACAATCAACTCTTACAGCGCTGATTCACTGTTACAGTTCTTAATCAACACCTATAATTAACACCAGTAGTCTTCGATCTTTCTTGTGGTGTCTACATGATCGCCATGTTGTGTTAATCGCCATGCGTTGTGTTGACAGAGCGGCCGAAGGTGGCGTTCAGCGCCGGATTACCTGCAGGACAGAAAGGACCGTTTAACACTGAAACCGCTCTGATCTACAGTAAAGTCATCAGCAACGTCGGAGGAGCTTATAACCCACACACAGGTCCCGAAATTAACACACACCTGCAGATCAGTACAACTAACACTCAGTTACAATCAGTTATAACAATTACATTCTTCATTTTTCACATCTGTTTGAAATTATTTTTCTTTTACATGGAAAGTGCTACATAAGTAGATTTAACTCTTCGGGTGTTGCATGAACACGTGTGTGTGTGTGTGTGTGTGTGTTAATTGCAGGCGTGTTCACAGCTCCGGTTAGAGGCGCGTACTACGTCCGCTTCACGGCCGCCGCCTACAGCAGTAACA